AAACATTTCAGAAGTCACTAACTCTTTGTTGCTGGACGACACTATTGCAGACATGTATTTAACAGCCTCTTTTGAAAGGAGTAATGAAGTGAAATAACAACAACATTTTCAGTTTATAGAGTGCCTTCTAGCCAAGAATCTCAGATTGCTTTCTAAATATTAAATAATATTTATCTGTTAAATGGATTAACAAATTCATGAAGTAACTAAGATGAGATGCATAGGAAGGCTGGTAAGGTCCCTCTTTGTTCCTCCTGCCCAAAGTCACTGTTACAAATGTGACACCCATTTTTTCATGAGAGAGGCCAAGAGTATGCACTGATTCTAGTCTTTGATGGTGCAGTTAACCTGGCACAGAGAGGTTTTGTCACTAGTCACAAATAATAGAAATAGAAGCAGACAATAGTTCTGATACCTAGTCTTTTTTTCTGCAATCCCTAGAACACACAGGCCACTTTTACATGTGCTGTGCGGGTGAGGGGGTGATGCTTTAATTTGAGTGGCTCTAATTAAAGTGCCACAGTGTCTCATGTATCAGTGTCCCCACACTTCAAAATGGTGGTGGGGCGCTGATACACAAGACACAAGAGGCTGCTAGAGTGTGGTAATTTCCACACTCCAGTAGACTCAATTAATTGAGTTTGCTTTGACACACTGTAATTACAGCTTCTGTGCTCATGTACAGGCATCCGCAATGTACAACCATCCACCTGTACTTCCCCCTCATTCAACCAGCCAGTCCCTGCTCCCATATTAAACTAAGTATACAAAGGGGAAAATAAAGGATATCTATGTACAGCCACTAAAGCAGCCAACCTTGGTAATCGGGTATGTCCCAGTCAACTAAGGTGGAAAAAGCCTTTATTCAATTAAAGGATGTCATATTAGTAATATATAAATATATAGGAGGTTAAAAGAAAGCTTGGCATGTATGCTTGGTAGCAAATTCTGCAGTTCTTGGCATCTTCAAAGAACTTCTAAATGCTCTACAAAACTCAGATTGGCCAAAATGCACCTATTACCCTAAGAGAGGCAGGAGGGTCCCCACCAGTCAAACAGAAGTCATTGGTATGTATCATATGTCAGTATTTTGTTACACATATAAAACACTCTTCGGTAGTGATGAGTTTCTCATTGGTCTTTAATAAATACTTAGGATATAATGACTGTAAGCCAAGATACACAATATTTTGTAATAAAGGGTCTGATGTTTTTTAAAATATAGTTCAATCAGCTATTTGATTTGGGAAATCTATATCAATTGAGAACGCCTAGTAAAAACAGAAGTTATTCATACTCTTGCTTACACTTACTTTTGGACTCAGTTTGATAAAAATGGATAAAAGGCTTCATAAGATAAAGGATGCTTGTGAAATGGTAACACTGATATGTATTTTTCCTTTTATCTTCCCTACAGATAAAAAGAAAAATGCTTCTTTAAAGTGCAGGACCACAATATTTGTTTTTGAAGGGTGATATAAGGAAATTGCTGCAAAAAAACTGATTCCATCTGGTTATCAGCACGTAATTTTTATTATAGCTCATGAAATTGAACCCAGAGAATATTTCTTGCAAGTGGCAAGAGTATAATATGTGTGATTGTTACAAGATCCATTAGAAGTAATGACAAAAATAAAACTCTATAGATTAATAAGCCTTTTTTCAGGTTTGATGACCATTATGTATTAAACAATTATACTTGATTTATGAACACTAACACCATGCTCCACAGTGTCTTTTTTCAGGTTTGGCTGGTTATGTTTTATTCTTCATTTAAAAAAATCTCCTACCTGAATCTTTCAAAAACTTCAGGTAATGTGTGTGAACAGAGTTATCTAATATTAACTTCTGTGTGTTGTCCCACATAGAAAAGGCAAGGGTTTACTCAATCAAGCCTGGCTGATGTACTATTGGCTTGTAGTCATAAAACGATGGAGCAGATGGCTTACCCAAATTTAATTTGCTATTTGATTTATCCCTGTGCTGCCACTTTATCATACAGATATTGAACATTTATCTAATGCAGTTAGAAAAACAAAACCATATTTATAGTGAGTTTATGAGATAATTTGACATATAACCATTAATCCTAGGATGCAAAATGCAGCACTTCAATGAGATTCCATGTGACCAGTTTTTTCTGACCCAGTCTGTGATGGAAACCAAAAAGAGTGTCATCAGAAATTATAATATCCCATATAGTTTAGCAGCTCAGTAGCTGATACCAGTAATGCTGTGTTAGTGATTGTTTTGGGGGGAAAAAAAGTCTCCAACTGCATGAAAAAAGCACAAAGAATTTCTTAAAAGTAAATTCAAACATTGAAATCTGACAGTCCTCTATTTCTGAGCTGCTTCCTGGTGCTCAACAGGGAATGATGACATCTGCGATTTGTTTGATTACTTCTTGTGATCATTTATTCATTGCAAGTTCTGGGCTTGATCATTCTGCATTATTGTCTTAGCAGTGTTCATGGGACCATACAATTTTATCAAATATTGTTGGTCTCATCATCTTACAATTAAAACTTCTGAAGACTCTGTATTATTATTTTGGCAGTCTGTCAGAATAACTCCTGCTGTCATCCTGCTTAGCAGATTTGCTGCTAAGTAAGATTATGGTTGAGTAGCAGCATGCAGAGCTACAAAATTAGGTCATTAATTGCAAATTAAGTTCAAACCTTGTACTTTAGCAAGTAGGGCTCTCAGGTAAATAGGTTAGGTGCAATTCTGGAGTTTTCTTTAAGCAAAATATTAATGGGAGTCAGATTTTTAGGCATGAATTGCTGAATACGGGGATATTCAATTATAAAAGTATTTCCCGGCTGTTCTATATACAGAGTCTGTGGAGTTTTGCAAAACTGTCTGACAGGGATCCAGTAAGATATGTGGAGAGTATCATCTGCATTCATATTGAAATAACCTGTATGTTTCTCAATCTCCTGCATTTCCAAATCATCTCTATAAATATACTGATCCATTATTCAGAATGAAAATGCTAAACTTCAGCCCAATTCTGCCCTTAGATATTACTGGGCTCATCTACACAAGATACTTTACTTGAGATTAGTGCTAATTACTGTGCAGTAAACATCAGCGTCTATGCACAGAATCAAAGACTACTTGGGATCCACCTATGACACCCCGAGTGGCATCAACACCACCTACCGCAGGAAGGCCAAAGCCCTCCCAGGCCGGGTGGTGGAGCAGGCTGCCACCCACTCCCCCACCATGCAGAGACCCATTTCAGGGACTGCTCCCTAGGGCAACATGCCCAAGAGTCCCACAGGAGGGAAAGGAGGGGACACTGGATGGCACCTGTGGGGAAATATGCCACACCACACATTGATTGGGAGAGGCTGGGAGCCAGGCGGGGGAGCGGGGGGTGGTCCTGGAACAGGAGCTATGGCACATGGGAGCCACTAACCCAGGTCCAAGCAGGGTCCAGCAGGGGACCAGGCTGCCCAAGACCTGATGCTATGGCCATCATTGACTCAGCCCACCTTCCAACCACCTTGCTATGCCCAGCCGCCAGTGGTCACTGGCATAGGTACAAGGCTCCAAAGAGAACAAGGGGAAGTGGGGGGAGGCATCCCACCAGCCCACTGGGCCAGGCCACTGCAGGCCTGAGTCCCGCTGTGGGGAATGGCAGTCCCGGGGTTCTGATCCCAGTTCCAGAGCAGGCAGCATTCCTCAGTTTTTCTTTAGTATGCACACAAATATTTTTGTAGCTGCAACTTTTAGTTAAACTGAGGGACAAAAATTTTACACACAGCATTCCCCCTGCCATCCCAAGGTTTTGAGTTTAAGTTGAGCCCCCTCTGGTGCAGGCAGCATCTTTCCCCACTCTCTCATATTAACTAAGAATGTGGTTCCAGAGCGGGCAACATTGCACAGTTTTTGTTTATTAAACACACTAACAGTTTGGCAGCGACAACATTTAATTAAAATGAGGCACGTCTCTTTCTTGAACTACATTTTCCCACAAACTGTTGTGTGTCCTTGGACGGGGGGGAGGAGCAGGACAGTGCCTAGGCAGCCTGGGGTATGGGCAGAGGAGTCCATGGTCTGATGACAGGGCATGGGCACTCTAAGCTCTCAGGTCCTACTGATCCAGGCAGGGCTCCCAGTCCATGCAGGTGAGGAAGCAGTCGTCCTGGGCTCTGTAGATCCAAACAACCTGCCACAGTGTGGGATCAGGACCACACACAAAGCAGAGCTTGCCCTCTCCCCCATGGCTGCATCTCATGTGCTCATGGTGTTAGGCCTAATCCGTACTTGAAGGGCTCCTTCTGGCAGTTCAGTGGCCCCTCCACAGGGCCTCACGAGCCAGAGCAGGAGCGGGTAGGCCAGGCTCCCAACAAGGACTGGCAAGGCAATGACGTCACTGATAACAAAATCAGGGATCCTGGGAGCATAATGCCTACTCTCCATCACCCCAGGGAGTGGAGTGTTAAACAAGAGGCAGGCATCATCCTTATCAACCCTGCAGAAATCTATGGCCCAGTTGTGCCCTGGACACCTGGGTATTGTGTGTATGCGTGGGGAAGGTGAGAAGGGGTCTCCAAGTGGGTGGATGTGATGTCCATGCCAGCCAATCGGGGCAACGCAGCCATTTGGCTCTGCTCAGGAGTCTTTGGCAGCCCAGGGAGCCTACAGGGCATGGTAGGAGGCATGCAAGAGCCTCACCCCACCTGCTGTGCTCGGGCAGGCTCCAAGTCCCCCCTACCCAACAAGGGCGAACATGTGTTCTGCTTCCTCTAACCTAAACGGGGGTGCCTAGACTAAAGCTCAAAAGTTAAGAGTGCTTCTCCTGCAGTCTTCTTGAATGCCTGTACTTAGCCTGTGACTTCAGCCTCTAAAACTGAGCGTTAGCCAACCGTGAGACTCTTACCTGTTTCCACAGGTGTACAAGAAAATATGCATATTATAAATAGTGTGCAAATAAAACAAGGTCAGAAGAACAATCAATCAGCTAATCATTGGGATGGTTTGTTACATAATAAAAGACCAGGACAAGCCAGATTATAAAAACAGTTGAGATCAATCCTTTGCCTCCTACTTCAAAAAAATGTGGGCTGTATTTTTTCTTGTAGGTCTTGCAGCTGCTTCAGCTCAACTTCATAATCACCTCTATGATAGGTAAGAATACAGATTGCTTAATTTTGCACATCTTCCTTTCCATACTGCCCAAAACCCTCTTAGTGGAATTGCCTGTTTAAAACCATGTCTCTTTCTCCCCTCTAAGAGAGAAAGTTTTTCGTGTAACTCCTCACAATGAAGAGCAAGTAGAATTCCTCAACACCTTGGCCAGCAACATTAAGGTAAATAGATTGCATGGGGTGAGATATATTGTAAGCTAAGAGGTAATTTTTTTGTTGTTGTTTTTGCAATAAAAAAATATTGCATCACATACTGCTAAATGAAAAGCTTGAGCCTGATTCCACTCCATTCAGTGGGAATTTGGCTGTCAAACTATCAGGAGTCCTAAGGCAGGTGTTAAATAAATTCTACTACAGACTTTAAACTATAATCATATTTGCAAATATAATAAAGTATAAAACCAAAAGGTAAAGTGTGTTTAGGATACTTGCAAATAAAGTTTCATGTGAAATGCATCAAAATTCCAGATTGAGCACTCTGACTTTAAGGGTTAAAACAGAGTTTGTTCACTCAGATACAATCTAAAAAAACTAGGCTCTCACCTATTTGAACTTCCTTGGCTTCTCTGTCTTGTGTCTTATTTTCCTTTCTGAGTTTTCTTTAAAGCTTTCTTCTGTCCTGAATGGAGCTGCCTGCTTTTTATTGACCTTAAGGAAGATATATGGTGGCATGAGAAAAAACAGTAAAGACAGCAAATGTGTTTTCAGTATTTCCTTTCAGCTTTGATGTTGTAAAATAGCTGTTGGTAGAAAAAAGACCATTATCTGTGGGATGAATACATGACATTTTTAATGATGTGCAGATGTGGAGGGGATGTTAGCAACAACAGGGTGGTACAGTATGGGAAAACAGGACTGTTGGTATGCTGCCACCTCTCCTTCCTTTCCCCACCCCCCTAAGCACTTCCTTCATACTATATTCTCCTAAAGGAAAAAAATACAATATTTATTTTTAAAAAAACAAGCAAAAGGAAAGCTCAACAGAGCTGACAATCAGAACTCAGTTGGTAACATGTTTTAGCAAAGAGAGTCATGTAGATACAGTACTGGTAGATGCACACACCATCTGCAACTTCCTTTACATTCAAGGAGGGAATAGCTAAAGAAGGAACATAATCATATTAAAATTGACTTGGTCATCAAGAAGTGACATTATTGACTAAAAAGGACCAAGATATTTAATCAGCTTTGCATCAAAAGTAGTATTACAAAAGAACTATATTTGAAAATATTTTTATTGGAATCAAATCATTTTGAAACAGTCTTATATTTGCTAAATCCTTTCTTCTTAAATCATTTTAAAATGAGAGAAAAGAAACCTTTAAGCTATGCTAGGAAATCACAGACTGTAATGAAACTGCATTGTAAGCAACATCCATTTAAGGAATGGCATGTTACTAGCACATGCAAAATAGAAAAAGCATTAAATAAATAAATAAATAAATAAGGCAATAACAAAAATGGAAGAGGGTTTTTTTTCTTATTGTTAGAAACAGCAAGTTAAATCTTAAAGAGTGAATATCAATTTATCATAATATATTTAGATGACAGTGCTCCCTGTTTACATTATTATAGTCCCCAAGGTAATAATATTTTGTTCAGTGCTTAGATACCAAGGGAAAAAAGTGCCTTAGAAACATCTTTACTTTGATCAACTTTCCTTATTCACACAAATAGGTCCATTTAGGTCCCAGAAAAATGTATGCCTTTTAAAAATCTGAATACACATATGAACCCTGAAGCCTTAGGTCTGCAGGCAGCAGTGCATAGAGGCACTCCTAAATCTGTGCAGAACTCCAATGAAGTAGGAAGGGCTCTCGCCACATTCAGTGGGATCAGGGCCTACTTTCCAAGCCCTGTTGGCAGAATTCTCCCTGTAATCGAGAGAGGTTTGTCTACAAGGAGATTACAGCATTGAGTCATGAGTTCTGATCCCCAAAAAATTACACAATAATTTTTAATTTTCCTACTGGGGTCTAAGTGTAATGTACTGTAGGACCAATGCTATTCAATGCCTTTATTGATTAACTGGACAGAAATATACAATTGTGACTAGTAAAATTAGAGATTGAAGAAAACTGACTAGTGAAATTGAAAATCCACACCCAAATTAGTGGATTGATAAATAATTATGGGTACAAATGGGTTTTCCATACTAACCTAGGTAGCTCAGTAAAGGCTACTGCAGTAGTCTACAAAGTGAGTCTACTTGAATAAAATGACAATACAGCTACACAAAAAGTTAGGGACATGGGAACAAAGAATGCATGCTACAATTACAAAAATGTAGGATAACTGAAAAGGGCTTAAGGAAACAAGGAGTGTGTCCCTATGGCAATCTTCTAGCCACAGGGTGGCAAGACCACCCTGTAGCAGTCCCCTGCTCCTGCACTGACAATAAGGCGTAATGGGATCTAATGTGCGACTGTGGGATCCCATTGCATCTTTACCTGCATGTATAGAGGAGGTCATAGAAGCACAGCGATGGCATTGCTTCTGTCTATAACATTACTGAGATCATACTGGAATACTGAATCCTGTTCTGGTGTATATACTTCAAAGTTAATATTGAAAAATTGGAAAGGATTCAGGAAGGAGGGCCTGCTTGCAGTCCCAGTTGTAAGCATGTGATGAGTGCTTTACTGAACTGAAGGCTTTGAGAAAATATCACTGCCATCTGAATGCAGATAACTCTCAAGGGGCACATGCACACATGCAGGCATGTGCACTTGCAGCAGCTCAAATAGGAGCATCACAAATTTGTGCCAGAGATTTTTGCCTCAACAAACAAGCCTGAACATGCACTTTGGTATAGGGCAAGTTGTGCCACTTGGGGCAAACTGACCCTGCCCAGCTACTCCCAGATCTGCAGCCAGGAGGAGGGGAAGGTTGGGGCCAGCCCCTTTGCTGGCCCCAGCAGTATAAAAAGCTGCCCTGGTGAGCATCTCAGGGCTACTTGCTCTCAGGAGCTTCTGAGGCCTAGTCAGTTGACATATGGGGACACTAGCCCCCGCATGCCAGCTGGATTGCTGCAGGAGCCCTGACCTAGAGTGGCTCCTGTACCCTCTATCTACTGCTGCAGTCTGGAAATGGGGGCTGCTGCCTGGCTGTGACCTGCTGCCACCTGCAACACCATCTGCCCCCTTGGACCTGCAGCCCCATGTCTGCACATCTGACAGACCTGGACAGGGACCACATGGTCACCTGGGCTGTGGCATGAGCACTGCAGCAGAGCCATCTGCACCTCTGGGCCAGCTGCCAGTGGGCCATGGCTGCACAGTTGGCCTTTGTGCCACACTGCTGCCATGTGTGCCCCCACCCTGCCATCTGGGCAGCTATCACCTGGAAGATGTTCTCAGTGTGGTGGCCTGCTTTGACCTGTCATGTATGTCCTTCCTGGCTCCAAATGGCCAGGAGGGCGGCTACCTCATTTGCCCTCCAGCTGGGTCCCAGGTGCCAGCCCTGAGCAGGCTCCTCTGCCTAGGGCCTACCACTTGCCTCACTAGCAGGAATCCCGGTGTTCCCATATTTAAAAACTACAAATTCTGTGATAAAAAATCCCAAATTCACTCTTTAAAATACCCCAAAATACATGTCCTTCCACAATTAAAACAAAAGAGCATTCTATTTATATATATATATATCTGACAAAGAGAGAAATCAATCATTTGGGTAGTGTTTTATTGATATATTTACAGTGTTAAAGCAATTTGGAAACCTACCAGTTTGGAAACCTACCTATCGTCATAATAAAATAAATTCTAAATATCTATATGCTTTCTGTTTGATTTTGGTTTTCTTATCACAGAAAAATCACAGCTCCCCCTTACCCCTTCACTAACAAAGATATGGGGACAGCTGCCCCTGCACCCACAGCTCCTGCCAGCAGGTCTCATCCTGTCTGGCAGCTGGGCACACTGGGTGTGTGATGGAGGGATGTGGGGTTTGCAGGAGGAGGGTGGGAAGGGGTGTTGGTGGATGTGCACTGTGTAGGTGGGTGTAGGAGGACATGGGGGGATGTGGGGAGATGTAGGGAACATGGGTTGTGTGGTTATATGTGGCAGATGTGGGGTTTGTGGGGAGGTCTATGGGAGGGCCACAACATGTTGCTCCCCCCACTCTGCCTGTGGTGCAGAGCCCCCGGCACTGGCAGTAGCAGCCAGCCAGGCTGTTGGGGTGGTCATGGCCCTCTGGAGGCACAGCCCTACAGCCATGCACCGCAGCCTGACCCTCATGGAGAATGGGCCTGGCCCAGCCCAACCCGACCCAGCCTGACCTGCCCTGCTAGCATATGCCTTTGGACACAAGCCGCAGATTGTAGCAGGAGCTGTTCCAGTCCTGTCCAAGGGCATGCTAGCAGGGTGGACAGGGCAGGGCAGTGCAGGCCAGGCCAGTTCTCCATGCACAGAGCACATGGCCCAGCTGGCTGCTGCTGCCTGTCCCAGGTGCTGTGCACTGCAGTGGGTGGGAGAGCAGGCATGTGGCAGCTCCCACCCCTCAAATTCTGCTACCACTCCCCACACACCCACCCCACATACCCCACCAGAAACCACACAGCCCCCCCGCACCCTCAGTCCCTGCTTAACTGGGACCTAGCTGCACCGCAGCCTTGCCCCACTCCTGTTTGCCCCACACACTGAGGCAGCATGCCAGGGCAGAAGGAGCACCATAGAGACTCTCTGCCCAGATGCCAGAGTGTCTCTGGAGGACCCAGCCTCTGCTTGCCTTGGGGCACACTGTAGAACCATACCCTATGCTGGCTTTTTTCTGGATAGTTTTTTTTTGATACCTGGAAATCCAGATATCAAATTTAGAGCCTGCACTGCAAATATGTAGCACAGGGAACATTTTTTTCATTCTTAGCGTGCCTCTTACAGTGTCTCAAACTGGTTTGAGATGCCACAACAGGCATGTGCACACTTATCTGGACATGCCCATGATAAGTAAACTGCATGCTCTAATATCATCCTAATCAATTTCCCATGAAATCTTATCTTCATGTTTGTTTTCACAAATGCAGAAATATAATGACAAATGCAGAAATATAATGACAAGACAGTGAAAATCACCATACTAATTGCGATCAGATCAGATCACTATAATACATACACTAATGTAAAAGTTGCAATTACATATATACATATTCTCATTTACTCCTCTTTTCAGGTTGATTTTTGGCATCCAGATTCTGTCATACAAGTAAAACCACAAACCAGAGTTGATTTTCGGGTTGAAGCTGACAAGTCTTTTGATGTTGAAAACATCCTGGAGCAGAATGGAATGGAATATGAGTATGTTCTAGTCATGTGCACCCTTCCCCTGCTGTCACAAGGCCACTGGTTACTTTAAATTTCAGGTTTCCTATGATGTACCAGGCACATTCCCTTTAAACCCCTTTACAAGGGCAAGGCAGAACTGCTGGCCAGTAAAGAGAGGAATCATGAAGGTGGATCTGCAGGAGTTCCCTAGAGGCAACAAGACCCATAGAAATGTTCAGGCCTAAAATAAATTCTTCAGCATGTTCTGCTTCCCCTCTTCCTCACATGCCAGTATCCATGGGACAGCTGTGAATGACCTCATGTCCACTAGTGACAATCATTACTATTATGGCAGGGGTGGGCAAAATCCAGCCTGTGGGCCAGATCTGGTCCACCAGGCCATTCTATCTGGCCCATGGGACACCTACAATGTTTAGAAGATTAATATTTATCTGCTCCAGGCTCCCTGTCAATGCTGGCAGGGGGCGGGGGCCGGCGGGCGTAGCATGGGGCTTCTGCAACAGCAGGGCCTGCCCAGCCCCTCCCCACCAGCTGGAAGCCCCAGCAGGGGCTTCTGACCTGGGACCACGTGGCTGCCCCACACCGGAAACTCAGGTAAGGTGTGGGGAAGGGCAAGGGAGGACCCTGGGCAGGGAAGGAGCCAAGGGAAAAGTGGCCTGGGGAAAAGCTGAGCGTAGGGAGGAAAAGCGGCCCCTCGCCCGCCCCGTTGCTGGCGCCCCATGCTGCAGCCTCTTGCAACCCGCCTGGGGCTGCCTGTGCCTGCTCCGGACAACCCCACGTGGGCTGTGAGCAGCTGCAGCAGGGAGCACTGGCCATGGGGCAGGTGAGGGACTGCTTCCCCCCCCGCGCTTAGTTTTTCCCCAGGCTCCTTCCCAGCGCAGAGAAAAGTGGCCCTTCCCTCGCTCCGTGGCTGGGGGGCGGCCC